CCTGGTTCACTTGACCCCTCTAGCTCCTACAATCTTTCCTCCCCCTCTTCCATGGGGTTCCCTGAGCTCTGTCTGATGTTTGACTGTAGCTGTCTGCATCTGCTCCCATCAATTGCTGGAGGAAGCCTCTCTGATGGTGATTGGGCTAGGCACTGATCTATGAGTGTAGCGGAATTGCTGTGGGATGTTCTGTATGTTAAATGTGTTGCTCTGATTGGTTAATAAATAAAACACTGATTGGCCAGTAGCCAGGCAGGAAGTATAGGCAGGACAAGGAGAGAGGAGAATTCTGGGAAATGGAAGGCTGAGGTAGAGAGATGCTGCCAGCTGCCGCCATGAAAAGCAAGATGTAAGGTACCGGTAAGCCATGAGTCATGTGGCAACTTATAGACTAATTAGATATGGGTTCATTTAAAGATATAAGAACAGATAGCAAGAAACCTGCCATGACCATACAGTTTGTAAGCAATATAAGTCTCTGTGTGTTTACTCAGTTGGGTCTGAGCAGCTGCGGGACTGTGGGTGAGAGAGATTTGTCCTGACTGTGGACCAGGCAGGACTGGAGAAAACTCCAGATGGCACCCAATGTGGGGCAAGTGTTTCCACCTAAAACCTGAGAAAAAAGATTTCAAAACAGAGCTAAAAACAGCTTCCTAGTTGTCTCTCTTAAGTTAGCAGCAGCCTGCGGGTTTGAGCTACTCTATGGCGGGTTCCTGGCGTGTGTGTGGGCTTGACCGTCGCTATGTTACACGAGGTGTCTCCAAGCTGCGCACTATGCTGTGTGTTGGATATAGTTTTTGCAAGTTAAAAAAAGAGGTTTCTGGGCTACATGCTGCTTTGATAGAAGCATAGAACCACTGTTTCTAAGAGTTGAAGGCTCCCAGAGCTGGCAGTAAATCTACCATGGCCATGTTGGGAAGCTGAGGTGGGTGGAGCCACCAGCCAAGCTGCCATTTCAGTCCTGGTAATGCTGCAGGTTAAAACAATAGATTCATGATAAGACAGATTCAGATGGAACAAGACTTCAAATGCTTTACAATGTGTGTAAAAATGTACATAGGCTTGGAAGAGAGAGAAAAAGAAATATGTACAGTTACATAAAGAAAGAGATAGTTTTTAAAAATAAAGTTTTTAAAGAGACAGTAAAGGTAGAATAAAAAATAAGCCATGTAAAGATGGATATTACACAGAGAATCTGGATTGTGTTGTCTTTGGGATTTTTAACTGCAGAAAAACATTTGATTGTAAAAGCTGTTGAGTTAAGCCAATATGTATATTTTAAAGATACCTTGACTTCAAAGTTTGGTTCTAAGGATATGTTGCTTAGAAAGGAGACTCTGCTTTTGTTTCCACAGAAAGCCAGAGGCTATGGATTTGTTCCAGATTAAGATACATCAGGTTTGACCAGCCAAGACCCCCTGAAAGGTCTCCGATGACACCATGGCCCAGATGATCCAACATCCAGAATGGATTCAAGGCAACTGGCTCAGATGATACACCCTTATGGATGACTCCATAATCCTAAAATTTTCTCTGTGTCCCCATAAGATACAGCACCCCCCCCATCCAGCAGGAAGTAGTAAGAGAAGCTATGCCCAAATTCCCAAATATACCAAGCTGGCTTTGGAGATGGAATTGGCTCACTCCTTCTCTAAACCCAAACATATTGCTAAAAAGAAAGGTTGAAAGATTCTTTTGTCCCATATCAGAAGAGCCCTCTGGTGTGGGACAGAAAAACCAATATTTTTATTTAAAACAGGTTGATTATAAATGCTATCTCTTTCTAAAGAAAAAAAAAGGGGTTAGTTTAGATATGATAGGATGAAAAGGTAGATTAATGAACCTACTTTTAAAGAGTAACAACTTGTTTAAAATGTTTTACATTGTTATGGATTTTAGTTTATTGATACAAGTTTAAACTTAATTTTGTTATACTGTGTATATATTTCTACTCTCATTGGAGGTATTATGATTATGTAACTCATTTAGATTGTAATGGATAATTAAGAAATATAGATTAATAATTAGTCTTCTATGATAGTCAAACTTATAGTTATGTTGTTTTCTAGGTATACATACATATAATTCAGTTAGGTAGGTAATCTTGAACACTTCAAAAACCTACAGAATATGGCATTTAAAATGTTTTAGAAATTTAGACTTTCTGGAGAGTGAGACATGTCTGCTCCTGGCAGCACCGATTTACTTCAGAGAGGAGGATGGGCATCAAAGACACTCTATATGGAGTTTATCTTCTTCTTGGCAAAAATAGCCATTTGGGCAAGAAACTATTCTTGCCTGGACTGCTTGATCGACTGGATATGCAGGACCCATAGGAAGGTGACCACTGAACTTTGCATGGCAAAATGGACCTTCAGGTTCCTGCTTTGCAGAGGAAACTGTCAGACATTCTACAAGACGCAGAGAAAAGTGACTGAGAGACTCTAGGCCTGTGGGCTGAAGACAGATGCCCCAACTTTACAAAAGAACGTTAGGTGACTGTTGGGCTGCCAGCTGTCTCTGTCTACTCTCGCAAGACTCCTGAAAGTTGCTTGTGTTGGTGGACCATTAGGCCGTCTTCCATGGAGTCTGTTGTCTTGACTTCTTCAGCAGTGAAAGCATATCAGCTCTTGGTGGCAGAGTTTCCGTCCTTTCTAGCTGTTTCTCCTCACACCACCATAATTCCATATATTATCACTATTGGTTGAGCTTGTGCCTGATGCTTAAGGGCTTGGGGTCTTAGTAAGCTCAGCTGGAACTTGTGACCTAGGTAGATGGCCTACAGGATTTTGGTCTCTTTAAAAGAAAACTGCAAATCTCAGAATGGCACCACTTTCCTTAAGTGATATCTAGAATTTAGAGATAAAGTTATCAAGGTGTGTGTGTGTACATGACTGGAATGACCAAGAAGTTCAATTTAAACTTAAGAGATCATGGGCCCAAGGTGGATTTAACTCTTTAGTCCTATGGAAAAATAAGAGGAAGGATCAAATGCCAGAAAATGCAATCTAACATCCTTGGCCAGTTTGTTCTTTGAGTGTGAAGGGTGATGTTTGTTTTCTATTTAAGGATTTTACATTATTTATCAGGTGTGTGTGTGTGTGTGTGTGTGTGTGTGTGTGTGTGTGTGTGTGTGTGTGCATTCCTGTTGGTGTGCACAGGGCCACTGCATGGATATAGAGGTCAAATGATAACTTGCAAGAGTTAATTTTCTCCTTCCACCATGCTTGTTCTAGGGACCAAACTCAGGTGTCCAAGCTTGACAGCTCACACCTTTACCCACTGAGCCATCTTGCTGACCCTTATACTCATGACTTTTTGATACACAATGATCTTTCTGTTTGTAAGTCGTCTGTAATCTGACCCCAAGTAAGTAGAGTACACTATTCTTGAAAAAAAAACAAGACCTGAAGGTTATTTACCTAAGGCTGAGGTGCTGTCTACAGATGTCAGGGAACTTAGTCTTCTAGAGTTAAGGTTGCATACGTATGTGTTCTATTCTCTCCTGACAAAAGCAATCAGTACTACAAACGATCATGAGGGCAGAGTTTTAGCATTAAATGTACACTCAACACAAGTTCTTCTACTCATCAGTAGGGAAATCATTTTAGTTCTCTTAGTATCAGTTTATTACCTACAAGGTTGGACCATAATGCATGCTTCTCAAGGCTGCTTTAAGGTACAAATGAAGCAACATTTTAAAGGAATTTCATACAGTACAAGCATAAACAATTGACATATTAAAGGGATTCATAGTAGGGGTTATAAGTCCAATTCCTTTTCATGAGCCAACTATCAAGGCCAGAAGACTGAGGTAATTATCACGCAAAAGAAAAAAAAGTAATTTAATGACTACATAAGTTGAGTTTGCTTTAATACTCATTTTCTTCAAGCTCTATCCTTACAATGTCTCAGGCTTTAAAGATACAGAAGAAGTGAACTTGACTAACACCCTAACAGAACGCTGTAAAATGAGCAGGCTTCTGATGGGAGATTCCTTTCCTTTTTCTTATTTCACTGCCTGGAAGGTATATACCACTAATCTTCATCACTGAAGAACTCATTTGTGGAAGAAAAGGAAAAGAGGAAGAAAAAAATGAATTCAGAAACCTTCATTCACAAGCAGACTGTGGAAAGGGACATGGATAGACACCTATACTGCTGTGTTCCATTTGTTTCCCAGTCCTTCATAGAGAGATAAACAAAACCTCCTTCTCTAGTTCTGGTACCCAACACAAGTGGGCCCCCAAGTCACACAAAGAGCAGACACTGGTGATGCTGCACAGGGTTTTCCACTTGGTGAATGTTGAGTAAAATATGTTTTAAACTTTGACTTTTCCCAGTGGGTAAAAATTAGAAAAGGTAGCCTTATTCATTAGATACATTGATATCATCAGCACAGAGTGATTCTGAACAAAAACTTAAAGAAATCCCAAATTAGTTGTTTCGTGACTTTCTCATGAGAGTATCAATTGCCTATATCATATGCACCAAACTTTGACTGGTAGTTGTCCAATTATCTCATTAAAGTTGTAACTTAATTGTATGGAAATAACACAATTCAGAAATTATTCAGAAAGAGCACAACCTAGGAAAAAACCACTTCTCAGGTGCATCAGAGAGGGTTCCCTGGGGGACAGAGTGGCTAGGGTGCCCTGCACAGTAGGGACTGACTGCGTAGTCCAATAATGGCTATGTGCATGTGGCTGAGAAGCTGAGAACATTTATAGATGCTCATTCCATGAGGCTGATTTCTCAGCAGCCAAAAAGTTTGCACTAAAGGACTGGAAGGTCTCTGGATATCCACTTGTCCTCTGTCTGTGACCTCTGTCCTTGTCTTCCATCTGTGTCCTCTGTGTGGGATTCTAAAGCAGCCACAGCAACAACAAAAATAACAGACACAGATGCAATATGGAAAAGCAGGCAGGCAAACAACACCCTTTTCCTCAGACCTCTTTACATCTGGGCTACATGTTGAAAGGTCTGTTCACTCTGAGGGAAGCTCTCCCCCTCAGCTAATCCCTTCTGGAAATGTTTTCACACATCTGCCCAGAAGTATGTGTCTTAGCTGATTCTAGATCCTATTTGAATTGACAGTTGAGACTAGCCACAACACTGACTCCATGTAGTATTCTTTAGTGGACAATAATTCATGTCACCAAGGCAAGAAATTGTGTGTTTCTGAAGTCTGTATTGGAATGAGGGAAAAACATTCTCTATTTCTGAGCACAGTGCTCAATTGCTTAGTTATTTCCATCTTGAGAATTTCCCTCTGTGTCCATTGCTCTTAGTTATTTGAAAAAAGGCAGGATACAAATTAGCATTGTCTTAGGGTAACTGCTCTTCCTATAACTCTGTGGAGAGCTGATTTGAACTCTTTGTTTCTTAAGCTGTAGATCACTGGGTTGAACAATGGAGTTAGGATAGTGTAGGATACGGATATCAGAGCGTCCTGGCTTGAGGAGTAGCTGGACTTGGGCCTGAGGTAGATAAAGGAGGCACATCCGTAGTGGACTATGACAACAACGAGGTGAGACGCACAGGTGGAAAATGCTTTGTACCTGCCTAACGTGGAAGGGAACTGGAGGATGGCAGAAATGATGTGAATGTAGGACGTCAGGATCAACAACAGAGGGATAACCAGGACCAAGGCACAGAGCAGGAAGATGGCGATCTGAGTGAAGTGGGCGTGGGGGCAAGTCGCCTTGAGGACAGGGGAGATGTCACAGAAAAAGTGACGGAGTTGGTTGGAAGACTGGAAGGGCAGGTGAAACACCAAGGATGTGATAATCTGTGCCACGGTGAAGCCGCAGACACAGGCAGCAGCTACTAGCCCTGCACACACTCTGTGTCCCATGAGCACCGTGTAGCGCAGAGGGTGGCAAATGGCCACGTAGCGATCATAACCCATGGCTGCCAGCAGGAAAGAGTGGGAACAGCCAAGGAAGAGGAAGGCGAACATTTGGACCGCACAGCCGAGGAACGAGATGCTCTTCTTCCGAGCCAGCAAGTCAACCAGCATCTTGGGCACGATCACAAAGGTATAGCAGGTCTCCGAACAGGAGAGGACAGAAAGGAAGAAGTACATGGGGGTGTGGAGGGCTCTGTCTAGCACAATGGTGGAGAGAATCACGGCATTGGTGCTCAGAGTGAACAAATAGAGGAGCAGGAAGATAACGAAGAGCAGCAGCTGCAGCTCAGCCAGAGCCGAGAAGCTGAGGAAGACAAACTCCTTCACCACGGTCTGGTTTACACACTCCATGGAGGACCTGCCATCAGAGTGCAGTCCCGGGCCGGGTCGGGAGGAAAGACATCCTTACACGTCAGCAGAAGCACGGGAGATGGGTCGGGGCACTGCACGTGCCTCCAGGCTTTACTTCTAACCTGCCATTCCTTCGCCTTCCTGTTCCACAAAAGGGAAATTCACAATCAAGCTGTTGTCTATCAGAATCGTCTTCACAGGAGTTCTGGTGACACAGCCCCAACGTTCTTAAGTTTATGACTAAATTGTGCTTCTATATTCATTCTGTTAATAAGGCCCGTGTTTGGATCCTTGGGCATGGTAGCACTCGTCCATCTGGCTGACTTGCGTCCACACACTCTCTGGGAACTCTTTACAGCTACAAAATAAGCTCCTGGAATCCCCGTGCTTGTCTATGGTTCATGTAATGCTCACTGGTTTTTCATTCTCTGTACATCTAAACTCCTACTCGTGATTGTAATTTTTTCATAACATGTACCTACATATTCTCTATTGTGTTTGCCTCATTATTTTATAGTAGGAGCCATAAATTCTGCCATCTCATACTTTTATCTGGTGATCCTTTCTTTCGTATTTTTATTCTGCTCCAAAGTCAAATTCTGGCACGTCTTTTTCTTCTTCTCTCTATTCATCCATTCCAAGACAGAATATTCTAGGCACACTTCAGCACTTGTCTGAATCCTTTCTCCCTCAGAGAGAACCACAGTCTTTCTAGAGGATTCTGGCCATCACCACCTCCCTCCGTTCCACTCGGTGACTGTCTTTTCTGTATGTCGTCACCACAGTGTCCCCCTGAGGGCAGACTAGTCTTCTTGTATATAAGATAATATAAATATAATATAAAAATATTACATTACTCCTCTCACAAAAATTGCATTCATGGTTACTGCATGGTTCCAACTCGTTACACATTTCCAAGTGTTTCATTTGAGAAGGCAAAAACTCTGCTGGCCACGCTGTTCTGAAGACATGTACCCCATAGGACAGGAAAGAGGAATGTTGTGCTTTCTTGCCTCTATTATTTAAGTTAGCTTATTCATATTTTTATTTATAGACACTTTGTAGCTAGGCTTTATTCAAATCATACATTTGGGGAAAATTTTTGGCAATTTCTGATAAAAGGAAATGTTTCTTCCTTAGAACTCATGTAAGATGTTGAATGAAAATTTAATATGACATTCCCTTAATTTTGGAATGCTGTATTGCATTGTTATCATAGCTTTCTTCAATACGTTTGTACCTTTGAGAGAAAGCTGTGAATTTGACAAACGTTGAACTCAATTTTCCTGCATGTCTAGGACCACATAAAACACCAGCTTCCCATAAATCATTATTAACTATTCTGCAAGGCTAGGCTGTTGCCATTGGCCTCAGTTCTGGATGGGCTCTTATGAGAACCCAGAGTCATGGCATCCTCAGGGCTATTTCTTCCTGGGCATGAGGATTGCTTACTATCATATTTTAAGGATTTCTGTGCCAAATGGTCTAGATGTCACCCATGTAAACCTTAAAGATAAATTTAGTTTAAAAATTAGGGAAGCTGGGCAGTGGTGGCACACACCTTTAATCCCAGCACTCAGGAGGCAGAGGCAGGCTGATCTCTGTGAGTTCGAGGCCAGCATAGTCTACAGAGAAAGTACAGCCAGTGCTACACAGAGAAACCCTGTCTCAAACAAACAAACAAACAAACAAACAAACACCAAAAAGCCCCCAAACCAAAAATGGACCAACAACCAAAAACCAAAAACCAACCAAACAAAAACCTCCAAAACAATAAACATTAGGAAAAGGAGGGGCTGGAGAGATGGCTCAGTGGTTAAGAGCACTGCCTATTTTTCCAGAGGACTCAGGTTCAATTCCCAGCACTCAGATGGCAGATGACAACTGTCTGCAATTCATCTCAAAGTGATTTGACACCCTCATACAGACATAAATGCAGGCAAAACACCAATTCTCATAAAACAAAAATAAATAAGTCATTTTAAAAAATGAGGAAAAAGAACTGAAGAGAATCTGCATTTGGAGTTGTGTTGTCTAGAGTTATTCTAAGCTTGAGTGCATTTGCTGCTCTCTGGAACATAGGAATCCAAGGAGGTGAGAAAGGTATAACAAATATATGATTATGTGCATCACATTTAAAAACAATTAAAATTATTACTTTAACTAATATTAATACTAATAAGTTTGGCAATGTAGCCTACCTTAGGAGAGATCTCAATGGAAACCATCAAATAGTAACAGGAAATACTAAACTGTGTGATTATAATAATTTTTGAGGTACTAGATGTGCAGTAGTAATAAATACATAAACAGGTTCCAGGCAAGACATCTATTTGCTCAGGGTTAAAGGGTAAGACATATTCAGTGGAAGAGATTATTGTTAAAGTTGTGATGACTGAAACATAGATACATATTAAGAAGCACTGTGTACATTCTTGGCAAACAATGTTTTCAACTTACCTTTGATTCTATTATCTGTTATATGACCAAAACACTTTGGACACATCATTCATGAAAATGAACACTATTTAGTATTTATAAGTCTAATCCAAGCAGACAAATAATTCTGGTAAACACAATGGCTTCTCCTTGTTTCCAGAGGAGCACTGTCTTGTCTCTGATGTGTTTTGTTTTTATAATTGTTCTTAGCTCTCCTCAGACCTAGGAAGGGACAGACATCTTCTTCTTCCTCCAACTTATTCTCTGGTTACTTGCCCAAAGCCTCAAATAAGGCATTTACTGACTAACAGTTTGGTAAATCCATTCTCAATTCTAAGTCCATTTTAGAAATTCTTGGCTTGCTAGTGAATTTCTGCATGCCCTCATGTGATGTTAGATAATGTAGGAATGAGACATGCTTTGATTCAGGCAGATGTCGGCTTTATTTTTGATTCTGGCTTGTTGGATGTAAATTCTATAACTGATTTTTTACTGTTCTGGTGAAGTGAGCAATTCCTGCTTCTCAAGGCTCATGGGATCAAACACACACACACACACACACACACACACACACACACACACACACACACACACGAAGCTAGTTCTATAATCAGAGAATTTTAAAGAAGGACCTATAAAGTAAATAAACATTGTGAGTACTGTAGCACACACCTATCATCCAAGCACACAGTGCAGTGGGGAGGCAGAGGCAGGAGGATCACTGCAAGTTCACAGCCATAGTGAGCATTATAGGAGGACAGCACAGGAGCACCATAGTGAGACCCTGGCTCCCATAAGGTTCACACCAGCTGAAGGTAAATTTGCCTCCCAGGTAGTCCTGCTTTGCACTGTGAAAAGGCAAGTGCTCTCACCATCCAGGACAATCCTTTGTCTGCTCAGATTCACACCTGCAGGTTTCTACATGTGCCAGACAACAAAGGAGGTTTCCAGTGTTTCTGTTTGGAGGACAGCAGATGGAGATAAACACTGAAGATCAAATTATAGATGATCTTGAACATACGTGCATATCAAGTTAGAGGTTTCTCATTCAGAATGGCTTATAATTATTAAACACATATCTTATGGACTATGTGTCTTCAACATTTTATGCACTTCTTCAATTGTGTATGGAGCTTCTAAAATTGGAGCAAATTATCTAATAAATACATTAGTTTATTATCACCTGACCTATCATATTATAGAGGTAGATATTAATTAAATTGGTATTCCTTTCTCAGATAAAAGAGAGTACAACTATAAATATTGTAAGATAGAGTATTATAAACATTTAAAGAAGTATTTCAAGACAAAATTCCCTGAATTATCTCGAGAATACCATATGTAGTTTCATAACTGGCAGTGAGCATGCAGACATTTTGATTGAACCACTTAACCATTTCATTATTGTTAACTGGTCACTGAAGTTAAAAAGTACTCTGATGTGTTGCTGTGTACACACAGAAACAGTAGATTTACTAAAGAGACATAGATTGATACAGGCCTGTGAGACGAGAGACAATTTTCTCCCCAATGTTTTTCTATTTCCTTTTAGTAAACTTCACGTTGAGGTCCTAAAGTCACAGTAAGCATCCATAGTGTATTTTGGGAAGTGCTAACAGTATTATTTCCATCATAAAAATGAAGCTATGTGAAGTGGTGTATGCTAATTATCTGAATTAGCTACTCCACAATGTGTGTATACTTCAGGCTATCCTTTTTGTGCGTGATACAATTTTAGCTTTCAGCTCACAAAATAAATAAAGGTAGGCGATGTGGCACACTCCTGTGATCTGGGGAGACAGGCAGAATGGTTACTTCAAGTTCAAAACCACCCAGAGCTATGTAGTGAGACCAGGTGTTAAGAAAGAAAGAAAAAGAAAGACACACTAGCCAACAAGTAAATAACAACAACAAAACCTCAAAATACTCAAAATATGAGTTCAATCACATCTCTGGCAAACATCACCCAAGGCTATCAATTTATCAATATTGTTTTCAATGGTTCTAGAAAGAAAAATTATAGGACTCAATCTCGTTATCATTTTCTCTTTCCTTCTTTCATTCCTTCTTTCATTCCTTCTTTCTTTCTTTCTTTCTTTCTTTCTTTCTTTCTTTCTTTCTTTCTTTCTTTCTTTCTTTCTTTCTTTCTTTCTTTCTTCCTTCCTTCCTTCCTTCCTTCCTTCCTTCCTTTCTTTCCCCCCCTCCCTCCCTCCCCCTCCCTCCCTCCCTCCCTCCCTCCTCTCTCTCTCTCTCTCTCTCTCTCTCTCTCTCTCTCTCTCTCTCTCTCTCTCTCTCTCTCTCCTTTTTCGTTTTCGAGACAAGGTTTCTCTGTGTAGCCCAGGCTGACCTGGAACTCGCTCTGTGGAGCAGGCTGGCCTCAAACTCACAGAGATCCACCTCCCTCTGCCTCCTGAGTACTGGGATTAAAGGTGTGCACCACCACCTCCCAGAATCATTTTCCTAACCAAGATTTGGATCTATCTTGCAGCCATGTAACAGAATTAGTGTTTATGATGTAATCTCGCTCGGTCCTCACAACAGCCATGTGCTTTCGATATTGCCACTGTACAGAGAAGAACTTTGAGAATCCTAGGTGCTGGGGACTCCATTCAGGTTCACTCCCAAAGCTAGCGGAACAGGGTCAGACCTCTTTGTATTTTGTGAGTGGCTCTGTGGGGGAGGGGACAAGGATGAGAGGGCAGCATATCCCTTCACTCTCTTTGATTATATTCAGAGAAAAGAGTACCCGTGCAATCTGTTGAGACATCATCTCATCCATTCTACTTTGAAAGTTAATGCATGCTGGAGCTGGCTGGGGCTAGGGTCCAAACAACTTTTAGCAAATGTCCTTTTCTATAAATACCTCCATCCAGAAGGATAGTGAAAGGATTCTGCCTTCTCATCCAGACAAAA